ACACCGGGGGGTGGCCCCAGCCCCAAGGACTCACCAGTGCGAGTTGACCACCTTGCAGAGGGCGAGCTCACAGCACATGCGGAGGTTGGCTTGGTGGTCGGCCAAGGTGGAGGCCGAGCACTTCATGGGGTCAACCTCGCAGTTCTCCTCCGACTCATACAGCGCCCGGATGAACTCGCCTGGGTGGGGACAGGGACGTCAGAGGGGACTGGGGACCACCCCGCTGTCCCACAGCCAAGCCAGCCCAATGGGGACACGGCCATGAGAAGGGACCAGCCAACCACCTCATGACCATGCCAATGGGGACACAGCCATGAGATGGGACCACCTAACTGTCCCATGGCCATGAGAAGGGACCACCCCATCATCCCACAGCCATGCCGATGGGGCCCTGGCCATGACAGGGACCCCCCCCGTGCCGACGGAGCTCACCGATGGCATCCTTGAGGTATTTCTGGCCGATGAGTTTCAGGTACTCCTCTATGGCTTTCGTGGCGAGGGTGTTTTCCCGGAAAATCAGATGCTCCCGGTCCATGAAGCGATCCACCTCCGTCATGGCCATGTCCGACAGGAAGTCCTGCCCACGGCCGTCAGGGCAGCCCAATGCCTGCCTGCATCCCAGCAGCCCGGCCAGGCTGGCCCCGCACCCCCTCCCCGTCTGCACCCTTGTGTCCCTCCTCCATCTCCTGTCCATCCAGCCTCTGTCCACCTCTCCATCCTCCATCCATCATCCCTCATCCATCTGTACTCCATCTGTCTTCTACATCATCTATCTGTCCTCCATCCATCCACCCTCCATCCATCCACCCTCCATCCATCCGTCCTCCATCCATCTATCCTCTATCCATTCTCCTTCCATCCTCCATCCATCCCTCCTCCTTCCATCCATCCGTCCTCCATCCCTCCATCCATCCTCTATCCCTTCTCCTTCCATCCATCCATCCATCCTCCATCCATCCGTCCTCCATTCCTCCATCCTCTTTCATCTATCCATTCTCTATCCATCCATCCTCCTCCATCCACCCATCCTTCATCCATCCGTCCTCCATCCCTCCATCCTCTTCCATCCCTCCCTTCCTCCATCCATCATCCATCCTTCTTCCACCCTCTCTCCCTCACTCCACCATCCATCCTTCCTCCCTCC